AATGCAACCGATGCCTTTCCCGATACCTGCATTGTTTAATATAGCAGTAAAAGAATTATGTGCCATCAACACTTTTGAAAAATTGTTTCACATTTTATTGAGCGAAGTATACTATTCACATTTCGGCTTTATAACACTATTGCTTTCTGAAACTACAACTGATATGTCTCTATATGAAGTATTAAATTTTTTTCCCGCTGACCACTTGTATTTCGGTCATTTCTTCCTGCCCCGCTCGTCGCCCGTGATGTAGTAACTCCCCACTCACATAGTCACATATCAGTGAAACATTTCGCACCAAGTCACGATTTTGGAAAGTTACTTGAGTTACAGTGTCATCGCGTGATATTTCCCTCCCAGTGAATACTTTAAACAAATAGCCAGAGCAAAAAATTCAAAAGTCGTTTAATACTATTTAGCAACCTCGGGTGACTTCATCACCAGCAGGTGTTACTATCACCACATAAATATACATCTTCAATTAAAATACGTGTATAACATTCCGAGTTGTTTAGCATGTCTGAATTAATTTCTAAGGGATATCTATCTTTTAAAATACAAACCTTCTCGTTCAATTTTAAAGAACCTAATTAAAAAAGACATCAGAGAAATTGATAAAACAGGAAAACAAGTCACCTCTAGAAACAAGCAATTGTCTTCTACACTGCTACAAACCGAAACCCTTACTTATTTCACGGAAACATCATAAGTATAGTTATTCGACGCTATCATCAAGTTTTCTCTCACTTGAGAGGGCATTTTTTTAATTCTAAGGGGCTCTGTATTTAAAGCTCTAAGTGAAAGAGAATTTGGCGAGTCGTGTTATTGGTGGATCAGACGTCACTAAACGGAACATTTTCAGTTCATCTTGATTTCAAAACAGTTGCACCTTTTTTTCACTTGCCTTTTAAACAAGCGTTTTCTCTTTGGAGAGTTATTAAATTCTTCCTTAACATGAACGAGAATCTAACAATGAAAGACGAGTCAAAGTCAAATGCTGTATACGATTCAGCCATTTTTGGCAAATCCAAAAGTCGTTAAATGTCCATATTTCCTTCATCATAGACCAATCAGATGCTTGATATCTCGGACTCGAGCCCGCCTCCTCTCTTCCTGGCTCTGCCTCTGTACACCGAAGGCCTGGCTCATCAGCGTTCTCTTCTGTTCTTGCAATGTAAGCATGCGTTCTTCCACGGAATTCATCACAATGTACTGAAAGATAAGCTCACAGTCAACGACACTGCGCAAGCAACGCCGCCCTGTTAAGATTCAGAACTATCTTCAACACCAACCTTAGTAATAATAACTTCTTTCGTTTGACCCAGTCGGTGGCTACGATCAAAACACTGTTCTTCAATGGCTGGATTCCAAGCCTAAAACATCAATTCACCACAGAAAAGTATAAGGATGTCTCGTTACAAGTCTGTCGCAGCATCGTTTACCTATAAATATGCGAGGAGTTTACGGAGTGCAGACCTTCTTCAAATGAATACTAGGTAGACCTGATGCTATTCATGCAATGTTTACAACGGAAAGTGTTGGAACATACCGGATCCATGAGAAAAACTCGTGTGGCAGCAGTCAGATTCAGGCCCACGCCACCAGCTGTAAGTGACAACAGAAACACTGTTGGTGAACTGGAACTAGTGTCGGCAAAGCTCTCTATAGCTCGGGCCCGGGCCTCTTGCATCATCCTCCCGTCCAACCTGACAAAAGTGAAGCCTTCTTTGTGAAGCGCCTCTTCGATGAGATCCAAAAATGACGTGAACTGAGAAACTACAAGGCTTTTTGTAGAGGGATCCTTTTCTCGGATGGCACATAACGCTCCCATCAAGGCATTCAACTAAAAACACAGAGATCTCGATGAAATCTTGTAGGTGAAAAAATCAATAAAATCAGGCGACTTCCATATGAGTATCGAACAAAAAATTCTAAAAATTATAAATTTGCTTCGCTCTGTGATTGAACTAGAAAACTCAAACCACCCTCTCGACCAATCACATGGCAAAATAAGACCAATGGCGGCTTGGTCGCTAGCGTTTTCCCGTGCTTTAGTCAGTTTGGTTTTCACAGCTACACAACGAAACACTGCCTAAAAGAACACTTTCAGACCTTAGAACTTTTCTCTTTTCCTTCCGATTCCTCGCTAGTTTTCTCTGCAGGCGGTGATTTTTGTTTCTTCTTCTCGGGAACTTTAATCAGTTCGTTCTCATTAAGGGGCGCACGACACAGAGGGCAGTGCGGAGCAAGATTCTCTGATGTTATCACATCCATGATGCACTGCTGGCAGAAGGCATGCGCACAACGAGTGATGACTGGTTCCACCAGGGAGTCGAGGCATACCGAACATTCCTCGTCACTTCCCGAATACAGAGTCGCGAGTAGATCTTTGATAAGTCGTTGGTTATTATACTCCATATCGAGGTCATCATCATCAGAGTCTTCAAGTCCTGGAATTAAAAAAGCGACCATTTGTAATAAAGAAAAGATTAGATATACAGTACATCTGACCTGGTCATTGCAATATGAACATCAAGACAAGTGAAAACAACCCACACCCGCGCCAAATGTTCGATATCTTTTATTTGAAGATCCAAAAATTTGTAATTTCTCTCTCTCTTACCACACCGGACGCTTTCATCGTTTATGATCTTACCAGCATGCAGGACGCTTCTCAGATATGAAGCTTATCCGGCCTAGTTAGATACCGATTTTCGGTGGCACAGTTTTAGGAGCAACCGATTCCCACCCGACCGCAAATGGTAACTGGCTCGGTTTGAAAACTGATTTGAAAATTTTCTTTTCTCTGTTACAGCAACGTGACAAATGTTAAAAAATATTTCTTAACACCCCCTAAGGTAGCTTCACCATACAAAGCAGATATCATGTTTTCAAAAAATATCATTCCACATATAAGATCAATTATAGATACCTTGCAATAAATCCTGAGCACGCTGCAACGACTGACATTCCTCCTCACAGAGCTTTGGATGCAGACAAAGTTGGCGAAGACGCATGAGAATTGCAAAGCAGTGCGCATACTTAGCGAGGACTGTTCCATTCTGAATATATCTGTTACGGAATAAAAGTTTCGGATCAAGTTCTCTGGAGATAGAAACAGTCGTAATTTCAGGACTAACAAACATTCCCCCGAAAATCAAGCGATTGTCAACAAATAGTGGAAAAACTCGTTGCATTTTTTCCCAAACTTTTTCCAGCTACGAAAAGTAGTTTGCAAGTATCCAATTTTTAGTCCTATTCTCAGCCGTTCAATGATCTAGTCATGTAAGACGCTTCCCCACGCGTACTAACAGCTTCTTCCGCTGGAGCCGTTGCACGGCTAGGTCAAAGAACGGCTTTGAAGGAGGCTATCCGGCAAAGCTAAAGGAATAAAGGGGCTAAGTTTCTAAAGAAACTGTGGTGCTGCGTCGGTGGGAGAGTACAACAGGATAATTTGGCTCTATCAACCGAGTTGTTGGCGTAAATTTGCCACCGCGAAGAGTTTCAAAGCTGACATTTCGAGCGTCAGCCCTTGGTAATTCGCACGAAGGCTAACGCTCGAGAAGTCAGCTTTCAAACTCTTCATGGTGGCCAATAATTAGCTTCATCAACTCAATTGATAATACCAAATTACCCTGTTATCTGACTCTAAGCTTTGCCAGGAGTTTTAGACTCTGTATGAACCCAAACCAGATAGATAACGGAACAGACAGTGCCTCAAAAAGTCTCACCCTGTGATGATCAGTTGTCCGTGCTTCTGCATGGAGTCATATAATGTTCGTTCTTCTTCCGACAGTTCCACTTCTTGAATGACCACAGTTCGGGGAGGCAATTTAACCAGTGGTCTTCCATCATCCTGATCTGTTTTCAGCCTTCTGATTGAGATGTGCTTGAGGAGTTTCTGTAAGCGACTGGAAGCACAAGATGGCGGGTCAAGAGATAAGAAGTGTGCTCTTATAGAAAAAGCAAATCTTAAGTAAATGACAATTGCACTCAGCAATATCTGTCAATTTCCGAATAAACCTCAGAAACTTGACAAGCATATACAAGGCATGAAATAATTCAAAGAAATAACACTTTCACACCAAATATTACACAGCTTACTTAACTGCCTGTTCATCTCCTCTCCTCACGCTGGATGCCAAGGCAGCATTCCACCATTTTTTATCATCAAATGGCTCCAGACGCAAAAATTTGACCACAGACCACAGGTCATCCAACCTGTTCTGTATTGGGGTTCCTGTGAGAACCCATCGGCGCTTTGCCACCAAGTCAATCATTGCTTTGGTCAAAGACGTCTGAGGATTCCGTATGGTGTGACCTTCATCTAAAATGACACGAAGCCACTTGATCCTATGAAGTGGAGAGTCAAGCTGAATGGCAAATAAAAATATTGAATTGCAATTTGTTTCAAATCTGTGTCTTTCAAAGG